ACCATATTTCCTTTTATGGAGTGAAATGATTTTGAGGACCTTGTTTGCGAGGTATATACTCGTAACGCACTTTCTATAAATACGATTGAACACACAGTGTGTGTTGTTATCGTGGACACCGTATATAGAGGACATACAGGCTGCATCATAGCTCAGAGCATGGTATCAGAAAGTTGAATGTGAATATGGTGTTTAACTCTTTGGGCGGTAATGCCTGTGTTAACACAGAACTCAGGCTGATTCAGCACCAAGGCCAGGGACGGTGACATCAGGTATAGACACATCTTTTCAGCGGGTCTGCAGACATGGTTGTAGTAGAAGTGATATTTCGTACTCTGTTTAGTGGTGGAAGCAATAGTGGTAACGTTACCTTTCAGCACGTTACACGGGTGTAGATACCAGTCAGTACCAGAGACACGCGTGGCACTTAAAATGTAATTACTAAAACACAAGACACTGGGCCGGGGCAACAGATGGACTCCAAAGTAAAGCGAAATGCAAATATTGAAGTATATTCTTTCTTTAAATTTACAAGTAAACACGTTAACGTGTGACGAACATAAAACCTCTCGGGAAGACTTTGCCAGAATCAGCCATGTAACCATGGCAACGTAACCGTCAGACCGAATCCCTCCTGATACAAAGCAGGTGTCCCCGAGAGGCACCATGGGAAATCAGTGTACCCGTCATTAATGAGGTAAATGATGCCGAACGCGATGCAGTCGTTTGTTATATATAGACTCACAGCACTTCATTGTGACACACGCGAAGGCATAATAGCTGCACCACAGCGAAAAAGATATTGAAGTAGTTTTACTCAAAATGTATTACTTGCTGGATCATAAAAGTAACTAAAACATGTTATGGAAGAAAATAAAACTTGTTTGACGCCGAAAGCTTGTCAACCCGCGAAAGAAATATAATAGTACACATTGGAGCAAAAATTACATACGTAAGAACACAGAATTCTATATGTTGATCTATATTTAAAAAGCCCCCTGTGTTTACAGATGTTGTAACCCCGGGTTTCAGGTGGGCCCAGTTGATTGACAGGTGAAAGGGACGATTTCGATCGCTTGATCTATGGGATAAACGCACGCAGTCCTCATAATAAAGGCGGAATAATCAATATTTCATTGCTTTATTTCAGGCTAAATTTTAGGAAAATTGACCGAAAAAAGAGCAAGAAACTCATGGTTCTTTACGCACAATTTCGGAAAAACATCAGAGAAAGAAAATTTACAACCACGCCACCAATCAGTATTTCTCTCCGTGAACAGAAGACGTATCTTCCACCTAACACTGTACGATTATTGCTGTTTGTGATATTTGCAGTGGGGCCATAAATTTCATTCATAATAAAATAACATAATCTCACAATGGCTGGTGCGGTTGGAAGGTGATGAAGATTTAATTTGAGGACGTAAATTACAAGTCTGACACCTACAGCGGCATGGTTATTACTATAACTCTTTCATAGCAGGAGAATATTATTTTTACTTGCTATAATTCTGCTTGTTGTAATCTTCAATAGATGTTTGTCTGCTAAAAACAAGTAGCTCTCTCTTGTGTCAAAATATCGTGGTTATCGTAGAAATCAACATGAGCTTCAGATTTGTGCATATTTTACATTTGATCCAAGTAATTTAGCTTTCAACACGTATGCTTACCACATATAACATCTATGCGTAGTTAACTGGAATAGCAGGGGTTTCTACAACATTACATTGTCGTAAACATGAGCGTAAAACATCCGTGTACGTGACATGTGGTGATGGAAGTTCAGTCATTCATTTTACTGTTGTGAAGTCAGTCTACCTGCTATCGTCAGCATCTTTTGCTTCTGTTTGTGATCTGTAAAATGCTGCAGAACCTAGTCTGCGATATGTTGGAATTGTTTAGCTTTTAACATGTACTACAGCGCTTTTAAAATGCACTACAGTGCTTGAGCTGTCTCATGCAACTCCCCACGTCTGAGGAAAATGAATACCGGGTCCACACTCGGGTCAGAGCCCGTGGTCTGTTTCCCGTCACCCGCGCCGTTGACTGATCAGACGTGAGGGACCGAGGTTATTGTTGTGACTACACGGCGTTCTGGTATGACTGTGAGAAGGGCTTCTGAAGCAGCCATGGGGAATTCTGCACGGCACTCGCTTCCGTGCAAACGTGCTGGTGACAGAAATGCGGCAAGTACGGGATAAGTGCAGACAGAAATACGACACCAGCGTTGCTTACCACTGAGCTGTCATGTTAAAACGCGATTGGACTGGCTTTACAGGTATTGAGTTGCCTAGTTCACACGAACTTAATAAACATCAAGATTATTCACAAAGCAACACGGCAACTTTTTGCAGCTTACGACAAAAGTGTGGCATGTTTTGAAAGTCACATTAGAAGTCAAAAGGGATTTGTTTCGAGGTTGAAATTAGTTTCCTGTTGTTGATCTAGATGGATGGTTGAGGCGCGGTGGTTTATTACTGTACCGCTGCAGCACGTGACGTGAGGTGTGATGGATGGATGGGGGACGCTAGATTTCCATTCCTTCCCACCGCCCTGGATACTTTCTATCGGATACAGAGGGACAGAAACCCCCATAGATGCACAGTAGTCGTGTTATCACTGTACATCTGTTGGTGTTGCAATATTGTGGTATTTTGGGTGACATTTTTGGCTCAAACATCGCGGTGAACATAGTCACATATCTAAATTCAAACCCTAACAGTTACTTTAACCACTAACCGTACGTATTAGACCCCCACCGAAGATTTCTTACCAAAACATTTCAATGAAAAGCATCTATTAGGTCATAAACACCAGAAAAAATAGGTTTAATACAGAAATCAAGTAGGTACGGATAATAGTACATTTTTGTAATTCAAACATAAAAGTAGTCAGAAATACATATGTATATAATAGCCCCTGTTTGTTTGATATTTCCAAGGGGTACCCGTGACGTCGGCCAGGATTACGTAAAAGATTATCATAGTCCCACAAAGACGTCATCATAAACATGAGCGATGAATTGTCATTGTGCTTGAGAGACGACGCACCGACCGACACTCGGGACGCTTGTGACGTTCTTTTCAATGTGTCTACAATGTTGAAACGAACGCTGCCACCACTTGTTCAAGTGTATCACCCACCCACCCACTCACACCTTCCACCATAACGCATCCACACTGATCCGACTGTCAGCTCCCGGCCAATTACTGTTTACAGCCGAAGACGGATGGCAGAGGACATTTAATCCACTTTATCCTGTCCGAAATCCACTTTATTGTTCAGGGCATCAAGGCTGGATGGAGATGAAATCGTATATCAATCAGAGCTTCCACAATTTCTGTCTAATCTGGCATCCGTTCATTTGGGCTTCGAACCCGGTGTTTTACATCTTCCCATATGTGTATAATCATATACATTTTGCCTCCACAAGCTAGCGATATGAAAATTGCAGCAGAAACTGTCGTTATAAATTTCATAAGGAGAATTTTATAGGGGCAAATGCTTTATGACGAAAACACGCCCCTTAAAACCGTTGCCTTGGGCTTAAGACACATGTTGAATGTAGGATACAAGCTTGGAATATCTACACTAGATATTCCCCCTGACCACTTTGTTCTGCTGCGTGTGTTGTTTTGTAACAGAGGCTCGAATCAATGACAAAGAACGTCCAGAAGAAGCCTTCTGACAAAGAGGACCGGTTCTGTAAACAGGGCGGCGACATAAATCATACCAGAAGGCACATGTTCACCTAGGGGTAGGATTGACATCGTTAGATCCTTGGCGGCCAATTTGCCATTTTGAAAGAAGGTACTGTACTGTATTACTCTGTGCAGTATATCATGGCGTCTATATTTCGGAAAATCACTTGCTATATTCATTGTGTCCTATATTCTGAAAACGACATAACACAGAAGCAAGAATAGGACACGATAGGAGAAATTACAAAAGATCCGCTATAGCTATCTCCACGTTGTTTCAGAAACGTTTGTCCAGGCGACCGCAATACTATCGATTTCTTTATCATAATCACGTGAGAAAGCAATCCAATTTATCATATTGTACAGCTACAACCGATGAAAATATACAGTTATTTTTGATCGGGACAGTGATCAAATTACCAATAACGAAAGTCAATACATAACGTGTTGAAGCGTATGTGATTTACCAACCAAGGCCAAAGATTTCAAGTGAGATATTACCATGTCGATATTATTACAGAGTTGATGAAACACCCTGTCAGTTTTATTATGAAATTGACGACTGATAAACATCAAGCCTGCTGGATTAACCCTCGTCAAGAGTTGATGTGAAATGGAGCAGAAGCAAGCCTGAGGCGAAGATGGCATCTATGGTAAAGACGAGTCCCGGTTTGGGTGTGGTGGAATCCTGCATTCATTCCGGTGTGAGTAACCGAGCGGGGTTTGTTGCCCAAATTTGGACATTTATACCCACGCACTTAGTACAGCAGTGATTCCGCCAATAGTAGGATTGGAAGGAATGTTTCTATGGTTCTTAGAAGGGATGAAAGTCAAGACCTGATAGAACCAGTAAAAAAGGAGTTGCCGATGGTGTTTTGATATACAGGAATCGAGAGAATTCAGCGCGCACCAAGGACAGAGACCGAAAACACTATCTATTATCCTACAAAAACAGTTGTGGTTTACTTTCCCTCGTTCCTTCCTTTTCTCTAGCCGTCTGTTTGATTGTAATGTGAAGGTTCTGTGTATCAAAGACTCTTCAGTTGTTAGATCTTCCTGGCCTTTTTTTTCCTTTCGTCAGAATCCTGCTATCTTCTTCCGGTGGCAGGTGGTTGAGATTGGCCGCCATTTAAAGCGCTTCCAGCATTAGCTATTACATTGGGGCGGATGAAAGGGATAGAATTTTTCTTTTAATAAGATATGCCGTTAGAGATTATGTGCTACAGTGCTGTTTAAGATTAGTTTAGCCAAGAGAGATACACACAGGGTGAGTCGTATTTCCGACAATTATTTCACCAAGTGACTTTATTAGAACGGCGTATGGAGCCGCCACTCGAACACAATACTCACAAGTTTCTCTTTTGAAATATTACAATGTGTTTGACAGAAAATTTGTCATAATCTAATGTACAGACGTGACCTCATGATCTGGGATTTAGGGGTCTATATTCACACAGGACGATTTCATCGTCAGGGGAACCACGGACTTGACATCACTTACATGGAATGTATTGTCGCTGAAAGGTAGAAATTTCCCCTAGGAAAAGTCATGAACCGTTGACACAAAGGCCTAGCGTTAATCATTGAAAATTGCCGAGTATCACAGTTGACAATGTCAGACGTTATGTACATTACAGATATATCTCACAATTCGATATTTACAACTTCTGTACCGTTAAAATCACGCTCTGACGACATTTGACTTACAAAATCTATGTCACAATTTGAGGTTTAAGCTAGCCATTCAAACATTGGAATGACGCATACTGGTGAGAAGATTCCAGTCACTATTTACAACTCGGAGATATCTTTCACCGACTAAATAGTTGATCACTTTAGTGCCATTGTTATTGTCCATCTCCACATAATTCATTCATCGGATTCTTTTTACAATACAGTCCTGGCAGATGTACATATCAAATAAATATACACAGCCATCGGCTCCTCTTAAAGGTGGGAAATAGTATCGAGTGACATTACCTTTTCAAGCTGAAACTGTGCTGCCTGTTATCCCTGTGATAAAAGTCAATTGTGCCCAATCTGCTTTCAGTGACATCAGTCCATTGTACGTCCGAAATTCCAGTCTGAATGTAAGGAAATAGCTTACGTTCTGTCAGTTGTCGCTTTTGGGAGTAAGTAATCTGGACCGTCTTTTCTGTCCTGTTTCTTAAATAAACGCTATCCTCTCAGAAGCTTGTACTTTTGGAATGCTTGAGCCGGCAGTACTGATACTGCGAGAAGGAAGCCATGGTCTTGGCGCGAGGAATTCTTCGAGATTTTGAGGCGCGCATCCCAAGGTTTCTCTCGGCGTTATTCCCATCGTCGTCCGAGAGATCTTCGTCGTTTCTTACGATAGGGGCTGCAGTAGCCCCTAACAGTTCGGGTTCTATGTCCTCGTAGATGTGTTCCGACATGCGGTTGGTGTCTTCTCGTTGTAGATGTCTTCTCATGGATGCCTTGGGATCGCTGTCGTCGGGCGAGCTCATCATGGATGACCGGAGAGCCGCGTTTCGATGCCCGCCTAGGGTGGGATCATCAACGTACGAGTTCCTATTCTCGTATACATTGTCCACCAAGGTGACACAGTCTGATCTCGGTCTCACGTTCACGTTTGGTCTGCTACCGCTGACGTCAGGCTGTGCTTCTCCGAGTCGCCGCCGACAAATGCTCAAGAAACCGCAAACACTCCCGCCATTTTCTTCTTCCTCTTCGTCCGTTTCTGTTTTGATGACAACCTTTGGTTTTCTACACTGGATGATAGCATAGTGGATACTGGCTACAGATAACGTTATGATTGCCATTCCGCATAGAAAGGTGCCAACTATGATCGGTCCTAACATCTCTTCCACGTATGTCTTGCCAGGTAATGTTGAAAACCTGGTACACACGCTACTTGAAAGGCAAAGTCTGTACAGAGTTCCAGGCCGCAGGTGTTTTAGAGGCTGGTCGGACGCACCTCCGACTTCCACCGCCAGAAGCTTGGAGATGCTTCGGTTCGACTTTTCATCGAGAATTGTCATGTTAGCACAAAACGGAGGCCGTGCACAGTCTAAAGTACACCCAAATCGAACTGTTGCTTCATCCGCTGACACTTTGACTATAGAAAGTTCTAAGTCAGTAGTCATTTGTGAGTTCGTTCCTTGAGATGTAAATTCTGAGCATATGTCGGGAATTGTTGTAGTTGTTTGTGGTTTTGGCACAGTTGGTCGTGGTACAATTCTGCCGGAGGGTCGAGTGGGAACAACACCACCGCCTTGTGTTGGGACAGGTGTAGCTGGTGACAAGGTAGGGGCCACGGGTTGCTCGGCGGGGCTAACGCCTCCCTTCTCCGTGGGACTTCTCGGTGGAGTCCCGGCGGCCGTGGGCGCGGGTTTGCCCGACGTAGGAACCACCTTGGGTGTGATTGTCGTCTTCACAACAACAGGGACAGGATCTTTCGTGAGGGTTAGGGTCAGCTTGGAGCTGACGGATCCTGCGGGATTTGTCGCTATACAGATGTACGTGCCTCTGTCTCTGTATTGCACCGACCGCAACACTATCATCCTGTCCGTACCCTCATCCTTGGGCGTCACGGTCCCCCCTGGAGTTGTCCACTTGACGGTGGGGAGCGGGTCCCCCTCTATATTACAGTGGAGATACACTCTACTCCCGACGGGGATTATACCCTTGGGGACGACCCAGGCCCGTGCCTTGGGAGCTTTACAGGGCAGCTCGGCGGCTTGGTCAACCCTTTCGCCGTGCAGCTCAGCAGGTGTAGCGCAGGTGATGTCCTTACGCTGCTGAACGTCCACGTTCGTTGTTTTGAGCCAGTCAGCTAGCCACTGGACCCCACAGTTACAGTGCCACGGGTTGGCGTGTAGAAGCAAGTGCGAGAGAGCGTACATACGGTCGAAGGCTCCGGCGGGAAGGGCGGTTATTTCGTTATGATGTATTCTCAGAGAGCGCAACTTGGTCATGCTATTAAACGCTTCAATCGGGATGTATGTTAACTTGTTGTTGTTCAGTTTAAATAGTTGTAATCCAGGTAAATACTGCAAAGACTTCCACGGAAAGTCTGTCAGTTCGTTGTTTCCCAAGTCCAGATTTCTCAGCGCTCCTAGTCGCATGAAGGCCCGATCCGATATGGTCTGTATGTTGTTGTAGCTGAGCCATATGGAGTGTACCATGGAGTACTTGGCCAAGGACTCGTCGGTTATAACCGTTAGGTCGTTCGCGGCCAGGTTGAGGGAAGTCGTGGTCCGGGGGATCTCGGTGGGGACCGTTTGGAGGTTCTGGTACGTACACTCGACCCTGCATAGCAAGGTGACGTTGTTACAGCGGCACTTACAGACCTCCGGGCAGGTCGGGAGCGCCCCTGACGCCGAGCTGACCAAAATCCACGCCACGGGGAGGATCAGGAGGAGCGTCCACGGTGTGACTGTAAATCTGGACATCTTCGTTTCCTTCTGAGCACTTTTCTCGCCCTGAAGGAAGTCACTTTAACTCAGCATTGGCCTGGTCCGACATCAGTTCGCGCGTTTTAGTCTTTTTCCGTGTCCGTTGTAAGAGAAGGGGGTGCAGAATGAAGCAAAATTGTTAGCACCATCTTCACGTCCCAGTTTTCATCGTTCCCACCTGCAATTTTCCCGCAGAAGCCAGCTCCCGTGTACAGCATGAATACACGAGCGAGCAAGTCAGCTTTCCGTGGCTGCTCATCCAAATGCCGGATCGACCCACACTCCTGTCAATCTCCCAGCAACCCGGCCTTCTGATTGGTCGCTTTTTTCAGGACTTTTCTTGTGATTTGATTGCAGCGCTCCCTCGCCGAGGGAAATCACACCGCCGCCCGTAAATAAGGTCTGATTGCCGCGCGTAAATAGGCACTTATTGCAGCGAAAACTTGTCAGGCTCACCAAATGTACTTAATTTGCAGTCCACAAATAGGGCATTAGACGCATTTGCCTGACAATAAGCAGATATCGCGCTTAGATTGTAGGCGGTGATGATTGAAACGCCGCGCTACTGACTGGACGGTATCTGCTCCAGCATCGCGAGACCAGGATTAAAAGTAAAAATGATTGACAGCTCGAGCACGCGTTGTACATCTTAATCACACCCCGACCAAGCACCCCCATCTCTCTCTGGGATTATGGCAGCAGCGAATATGATCAATATTTTATTGCCCCGCTTTCGCTCTACATAATCCATAACCCTGCCGAGCTCCACGCTGATGAAAAATCACGCGAAATTACTTCCAGTCCGAGATGTCTAAATTGAATACTCACGATAGGTCACCTTGTGTGTGATTCTGAGCAGAGCTTTAAAACACACGGTATTCATTCCATAGAAATTCTTCATTGTGAAACATGAATGTCGGTAGATCTAAGCTCACAGGGCATACATTTTGGGTAGTTGGGCATGATGAGGCCTCTGAGATAATCATATGGTTCCTGGGACCACAAAAAGTCGTAAAACGTAATCAAATCCTTCCCTCCCCGTGCGTTTGGGGATATGCCGGGGACAGGATTTATGATATACGGCGCTTATCATTACTATTAATTGTAGTGATAATGAGGTCTAACCGCCGCCGTAAATCTGTCAGAAGGTGCAAAATGGCGGGAAAAGCGGACAGGCAGGGAGAATGGCCTGGCAGGGCGCCATTTTACATAGCGTGTAAAGATGTCAAGATTTCGTGAAGGGCATCTTATGAATTGGCCACGCGTTAATAGAGGCAGGTTGTCTTCTTAAGCGTGACAATAACGTGTAAAATTTGATTTCAAAATGGTGCGCGTTACAGTACTCAAGTCTCCATGATGTTATGACTTGAAAAATGCAAAAGCAATGCGTAAATTGACTTGACTTTCAGTGTCAAAATATTGACGATATGAATTTGTCGATCATGATAGAGCTATTGCAAATTTAATCTGTATAATTTTATAGTTTCAAGATCAAATGGAACATCGCTGTGATTCCTTCAGCGTCGGTGTAATATGTGACCCGTTTCGACGTGTGATTCTGGTTTCAGCACCAAGGACAGGGATGGCTTGGAAGCCGCGCCGAGCGCCATGTTTTAACTGTTTGTAACGTACGTGGTTTATCAACGCTACGTGTAATCGCAACATTCAAAAAAATGTTCCCGTCATTTAGTTTGCTTATCATTCTATCTCTTGTGCCATTTAGTTTATTAGAATTGTTAAGGAAAGTCTATGGTGAACAGTCTGTTTTTGTTTTACTTCAAATACATCAGGCGTTGACGTTATGGATAGACATGTGCGTGTTGAGAGCTGTTTACATCTACGCATCTGAATGCTTCCCACTAGCTTCAATTGAAAAGGCATTAGCACTAAGTGGGGTGACCTTCGAGAGTTTCGCAACATCGTTCAGCGACATGTATGTCTCTGAGCATTTGGCACAGCCATTTAACGTATGGACGTATGTCAGAATCAGGTGAAAAATCACATTTTCCTAAAGGGCAAATTAAATGGCAGCTAGCAGTGGCTATCAACAATAGCTGTCAAAAAGGGCAAGTGGCACATCTTCCTAGGGTAAAAACATAACTTTCAGTTCGCCTAGTTGTGAATGGTGTGTATGTGGGACTGGACCTTTACCTCTATCTGTACAGTAGCTTTTGCTTTCTACCGGTCAGGGCATCATGTCAGAACCAGATGATTTATTTGTCTGACTAGCTAAGTTAAAGACGCAGTTAACATGCATGGCCATCATTATTCTAACACGAGCCGAGGTATCGCATAGCCGAGGGCTAACCAAGCCTACTGCCCGCTGCCATGGCAACCGACCTGGCCTCCATTAGCGGGAATATTTGTGTGGGTGGAGGGTGACATTTACCACGCACAGCTTGTCAAAACTTGTTTTCTCGCGTACTAAGAAGCCGGAAGGACGCAGATATATTGATCACGGGATGAAGCGCGCTGTATGAAAGGATTTGGAGATAATAGTCACAGGGGAATATCGCTTTGGGTTGATGCACTACATTCAGGGAAGGCTTCAGATCAGATAATTCACATGATGCATTGTATCTCCTTTATCCTAGCAATATGACGAATGTGAATTTTCAATTTTAATGACTTATATGTAAGAGGGGTGTATCTTACTAGAATAATGAAAATCATGAGAAAATTGCACGCCGGATGCATAACTAGTCATGTGAAAGCCGGAAGGGAGAAAATGTGAGGATGTTATAAACTCCCAGCGGAGTGACCCTAGTTGAGGGAGTTAGATGTGACGATGACGGTCGTCTCCTGTAGGACTCACTAATGGACGCCGCACCGCCTGGTACTGATGCCAACCGGTCCTCTGGGCTGGGGATGTGGGGCCAATACGTGATCTACACATGCACAGCAAGTTTATGAACAGATAGAGCTGCAGAACACGTAAAAACACAACCAGAGCTCACAGACAGATGGTGATACTCAATAAAATACATAAGAGTCTTAGAACATAATCCTCTGTGAAGTAATTATGGTGTTTGCTGTGTAGGCTTAAGTGTTCTTTCACTACAAACATGCCAAATTTCAGATTAATCCATCAAAAAATTTCGATTCATAGTTGCCAGGCCACAGACACAGACAAAGAAGTTGTTCAAAGTATGAAAGTCTTATCTTAGCAAAGAAAACTATTCTAGCATTTTTTCATAAAGCTAAATGAACCCTGATTTGCATGGTTAACATATCTAAGGATGTTCAACTTTTCAACTTTCAATACTCCGTCACGGAGCTCACTGAACCCACGGAGTAAAAAGAAATGCATTGGCATGCTGTTGGCATTGGCGTCTCTTTCTCTCTTATCTTTTTACGCACGCATCGGCGCGGCCGGGAGCAGTACTGCAGGGATAAAGCCTGTGATGGGGTATGCCGTTCCGACATGTATGTGGATATATACAAGAGATTAAACTTAAAGCCAGTGAATACTTTTCCTTATATATATACATAGGTTCTTTGCGTAACGCCGATACAACCTTGTGTTGGAACGTTCAGACTAGGACGCGAACCCAAACTTGTCATGCCGTGACTTTCGAAGTTTGTGTGCTGTCACGCTACATTGAACAATGCGGAACGCTACTGTTGGGTGCATACTGTGCCTGCTATTCCCGTGGCACAAATATGATGAGTCTGAAACTATGAATGCCCCCATTGAAAGATATCGATGGATACTAGTATGCTACCAGACAACTTCTCTGCAGTTGGCATTTATTCCAACAGATGGCGCTTCTGCTAATTGGTTTGTCAGATTACCCACCGTGCATTGTATATCCGGTTACTGAAAGACCGCCATTTTCTCCGCGTCGGTGAGGTGCACGCAGTAGCTCGTCCTCTCTTCCACTTTTGCTGTTTGTTCGAGTCCATAAGACAGACTTCCACCATGACGGACAAGATGGACATGTCTCTTGACGACATCATCAAGCTCAACAAGCCCGGGCGGGGTAGAGGCCGTGGTGGCGGCCGGGGACGAGGAGGTGGCCGGGGACGCGGCGCTAGTCGAGGCCGTGGCGGCGGTGGTGGCGGCTTCAGTGCCGGAGGTGGCGGCGGTGGGCCCCATGAGGAGGGGAAGACGGGGCGGT